CTTAGGGCCACAGAATTGTTACTCGCACAGACACAGAATTGTTACTCAGGGCCACAGAACTGTTACTGAGGGCCACAGAACTGTTACTCGGGCCACAGAATTGTTACTCGGGACAGACACAGAACTGTTACTGAGGGCCACAGAACTGTTACTTAGGGCCACAGAATTGTTACTCGCACAGACACAGAATTGTTACTCAGGGACACAGAACTGTTACTGAGGGCCACAGAACTGTTACTTAGGGCCACAGAATTGTTACTCGCACAGACACAGAATTGTTACTCAGGGACACACAGAATGTTACTGAGGGCCACAGAACTGTTACTTAGGGCCACACAGAATTGTTACTCAGGGCACAGAATTGTTACTCAGGGCCACAGAACTGTTACTTGGGCCACAGAAACTGTTACTCAGGGCACAGAATTGTTACTGAGGGCCACAGAACTGTTACTTAGGGCCACAGAATTGTTACTCGCAGGGACACAGAATTGTTACTCAGGGCACAGAACTGTTACTGAGGGCCACAGAACTGTTACTTAGGGCCACAGAATTGTTACTCGCACACACAGAATTGTTACTCGCACAGACACAGAATTGTTACTGAGGGCCACAGAACTGTTACTTAGGGCCACAGAATTGTTACTCGCACAGACACAGAATTGTTACTCAGGGCCACAGAACTGTTACTGAGGGCCACAGAACTGTTACTTAGGGCCACAGAATTGTTACTCGCACAGGACACAGAATTGTTACTCAGGACACAGAATTGTTACTGAGGGCCACAGAACTGTTACTTAGGGCCACAGAATTGTTACTCGCACAGACACAGAATTGTTACTCGCAGGGACACAGAATTGTTACTGAGGGCCACAGAACTGTTACTTAGGGCCACAGAATTGTTACTCGCAGGGACACAGAATTGTTACTCAGGGCAGACACAGAATTGTTACTCAGGGCCACAGAACTGTTACTTAGGGCCACAGAATTGTTACTTACTCTCGCACAGACACAGAATTGTTACTCGGGACACAGAATTGTTACACAGAATTGTTACTGAGGGCCACAGAACTGTTACTTAGGGCCACAGAATTGTTACTCGCAGGGACACAGAATTGTTACTCGAGGGCCACAGAACTGTTACTTAGGGCCACAGAATTGTTACTCGCACAGACACAGAATTGTTACTCAGGGCCACAGAACTGTTACTGAGGGCCACAGAACTGTTACTTAGGGCCACAGAATTGTTACTCGCACAGACACAGAATTGTTACTCGCACAGGACACAGAATTGTTACTGTTAGGGGCCACAGAATTGTTACTTAGGGCCACAGAATTGTTACTCGCAGGACACAGAATTGTTACTCAGGGCCACAGAACTGTTACTGAGGGCCACAGAACTGTTACTTAGGGCCACAGAATTGTTACTCGCACAGACACAGAATTGTTACTCGCACAGACACAGAATTGTTACTGAGGGCCACAGAACTGTTACTTAGGGCCACAGAATTGTTACTCGCACAGACACAGAATTGTTACTCAGGGCCACAGAACTGTTACTGAGGGCCACAGAACTGTTACTTAGGGCCACAGAATTGTTACTCAGGGACACAGAATTGTTACTGAGGGCACAGAACCGTTACAGGGACACAGAATTGTTACTGAGGGCCACAGAACTGTTACTTAGGGCCACAGAATTGTTACTCGCACAGACACAGAATTGTTACTCAGGGCCACAGAACTGTTACTGAGGGCCACAGAACTTTACTTAGGGCCACAGAATTGTTACTCGCACAGACACAGAAATTGTTACTCGCACAGGGACACAGAATTGTTACTGAGGGCCACAGAACTGTTACTTAGGGCCACAGAATTGTTACTCGCACAGACACAGAATTGTTACTCAGGGCCACAGAACTGTTACTGAGGGCCACAGAACTGTTACTTAGGGCCACAGAATTGTTACTCGCACAGACACAATTGTTACTCGCACAGTTACACAGAACAGAATTGTTACTGAGGGCCACAGAAACTGTTACTTAGGGCCACAGAATTGTTACTCGCACAGACACAGAATTGTTACTCAGGGCCACAGAACTGTTACTGACTGTTACTGAGGGCCACAGAATTGTTACTCGCACAGACACAGAATTGTTACTCAGGGACACAGAATTGTTACTGAGGGCCACAGAACCGTTACTTAGGGCCACATAAACGTTACTCAGGGACACAGAATTGTTACTGAGGGCCACAGAACCGTTACTTGGGGCCACAGAAACGTTAATCAGGGACACAGAATTGTTACTGAGGGCCACAGAACCGTTACTTAGGGCCACATAAACGTTAATCAGGGACACAGAATTGTTACTGAGGGCCACAGAACCGTTACTTAGGGCCACACAGAATTGTTACTCAGGGACACAGAATTGTTACTGAGGGCCACAGAACTGTTACTTAGGGCCACAGAATTGTTACTCGGACAGACACAGAATTGTTACTCAGGACACAGAATTGTTACTCAGGGACACATAATCGTTGAATTAAAGAGTATGTCAGACAACATGCAGAGGAGTGGCAGAGGAGGCAATGTTTTAGGAGCGAGCAGACGTGGCAGCAGAGGAAGGGGTCGAGGCAGCACTATTCGCAGCCAGAGGCCAGTGCTCCCGGTGTCATCCAGCGGTCGTGTCTCCACCGACAACCCTGCCGTCATTGATTGGTTGGCTCGGTCGTCTTCCTCTTCCCAGGTCACCTCTGACACCTACAGCCAACGGTCGGTGGGTACGTCAGACACAACCATTAGTTGGCATGGCCCGGGAGCAAGCCCACTGAAATCACATGTCCTCTACCTGCCCCTGTCCTTTGCTGTTCCCTCACCAAGCGAAGTATCGCATGCTGTGGGCTCAGCCCCACTGTACAGTGAGGAAGAGCTAACAGAGGGCGGTCAGAACGGGGGAGACATCGGCCTTTTCACCAGCCAGGCGAACAAGTACTGGCGAGGAGAGTGGCTCGGTAGCCGGTCTAGAGACAGGTCTGTCTCCTGACCCAGACGCAGCCCGAGGGGGCTAGTAGTGAGGCGGAGACCGTACTTGATGATGAGGAGGTTCAATTTCTTCCGCATCATCAGGAGAAGAGGGTGCCAGCTTGGCAGCGAGCGAAACAGTCGGTGGGTTGCCCAGGAGGCAGCAGGGTCGCATCAGTGTCAGTGGAGCCAAACGTCCACGGAGTAGAGCACCAGCTCCACTGCAGCCTACCACCACGGCCAGTAGTGGTGCCGGTGTGCACGGAGGAAGTAGCAGTCAGCCAGTGAGGAGTAGCGGGGGCAAAGTTTCCTACTCTGCGGTGTGGCAATTTTTCGTCAAGCCGCCCGAGGAAGTAAACGTAGCCTAATGTCGACTATGTGGCCAGAAAGTCAAGCGTGGCCAGGGGGGCCCATGTTGGGACTACAGCGTTGCGTCAGCATATGCAGCGTCGCCATTCGGTGGCCTGGGAAAAAACGTGATAAAGATACGGCGGTTCTGCCTGCCCCAGCCCAGGGTTCCATTTTGTCATAGGGTGCTGGCAGATTACGGGCCTCCCATAGGTGCCGCCAGGCCCCAAATCGGCCATGGGCCCCCGTACCGCCTGGTCACGCTGCTGCTGAGCCCACAGTGTGACCTGGGTCCCTGTACGGCCTCCCATTGCTTCCACTCTGCCATGTGCCAACTTTGAGGTCTCCTTACACTCCTGCGGTTTTCCATTTTGTCATAGGTTGCTGGCAGATTAGCGGCCTCCCCATAGGTGCCGCCAGGCCCTCTTATCGGCCATGGGCCCCCGTACCTCCTGGTCATGCTGCTGCTGGTCCCACAGTGTGACCTGGGTCCCTGTACGGCCTCCCATTGCTTCCACTCTGCCATGTGCCACTTTGAGGTCTCCTTACACTCCTGCGGTTTTCCATTTTGTCATAGGTTGCTGGCAGATTACAGGCCTTCCATTGGTGCCGCCAGGCCCTATATCGGCCATGGGCCCCCGTACCTCCTGGTCATGCTGCTGCTGGACCCACAGTGTGACCTGGGTCCCTGTACGGCCTCCCATTGCTTCCACTCTGCCATGTGCCACTTTGAGGTCTCCTCACACTCTCTGTGCTTTTCCATTTTGACATAGGTTGCTGGCAGATTACAGGCCTTCCATAGGTTCCGCCAGGCCCCATATCGGCCATGGGCCCCCCGTACCGCCTGGTCACGCTGCTGCTGAGCCCACAGTGTGACCTGGGTCCCTGTACGGCCTCCCATTGCTTCCACTCTGCCATGTGCCACTTTGAGGTCTCCTTACACTCCTGCGGTTTTCCATTTTGTTATAGGTTGCTGGTAGATTAGCGGCCTCCCATAGGTGCCGCCAGGCCCCATATCGGCCATGGGCCCCCGTACCTCCTGGTCATGCTGCTGCTGGTCCCACAGTGTGACCTGGGTCCCTGTACGGCCTCCGATTGCTTCCACTCTGCCATGTGCCACTTTGAGGTCTCCTTACACTCCTGCGGTTTTCCATTTTGTCATAGGTTGCTGGCAGATTACAGGCCTTCCATTGGTGCCGCCAGGCCCTATATCGGCCATGGGCCCCCGTACCTCCCTGGTCATGCTGCTGCTGGTCCCACAGTGTGACCTGGGTCCCTGTACGGCCTCCCATTGCTTCCACTCTGCCATGTGCCACTTTGAGGTCTCCTCACACTCCTGTGCTTTTCCATTTTGACATAGGTTGCTGGCAGATTGCAGGCCTTCCATAGGTTCCGCCAGGCCCATATCGGCCATGGGCCCCCGTACCTCCTGGTCACGCTGCTGCTGAGCCCACAGTGTGACCTGGGTCCCTGTACGGCCTCCCATTGCTTCCACTCTGCCATCTGCCACTTTGAGGTCTCCTCACACTCCTGTGCTTTTCCATTTTGACATAGGTTGCTGGCAGATTACAGGCCTTCCATTGGTGCCGCCAGGCCCATATCGGCCATGGGCCCCCGTACCTCCTGGTCATGCTGCTGCTGGTCCCACAGTGTGACCTGGGTCCCTGTACGGCCTCCCATTGCTTCCACTCTGCCATGTGCCACTTTGAAATGTCCTCACACTCCTGCAGTTGTCCATTTTGTCATAGGTTGCTGGCAGATTAGCGGCCTTCCATAGGTGCCGCCAGGCCCCATATCGGCCATGGGCCCCTCGTACCTCCTGGTCACGCTGCTGCTGAGCCCACAGTGTGACCTGGGTCCCTGTACGGCCCTCCCATTGCTTCCACTCTGCCATGTGCCACTTTGAGGTCTCCTTACACTCCTGCGGTTTTTTCCATTTTGTCATAGGTTGCTGGCAGATTACAGGCCTTCCATTGGTGCCGCCAGGCCCTATATCGGCCATGGGCCCCCCGTACCTCCTGGTCATGCTGCTGCTGGACCCACAGTGTGACCTGGGTCCCTGTACGGCCCTCCCATTGCTTCCACTCTGCCATGTGCCACTTTGAGGTCTCCTCACACTCCTGTGCTTTTCCATTTTGACATAGGTTGCTGGCAGATTACAGGCCTTCCATAGGTTCCGCCAGGCCCCATATCGGCCATGGGCCCCCGTACCGCCTGGTCACGCTGCTGCTGAGCCCACAGTGTGACCTGGGTCCCTGTACGGCCTCCCATTGCTTCCACTCTGCCATGTGCCACTTTGAGGTCTCCTTACACTCCTGCGGTTTTCCATTTTGTTATAGGTTGCTGGTAGATTAGCGGCCTCCCATAGGTGCCGCCAGGCCCCATATCGGCCATGGGCCCCCGTACCTCCTGGTCATGCTGCTGCTGGGTCCCACAGTGTGACCTGGGTCCCTGTACGGCCTCCCATTGCTTCCACTCTGCCATGTGCCACTTTGAGGTCTCCTTACACTCCTGCGGTTTTCCATTTTGTCATAGGTTGCTGGCAGATTACAGGCCTTCCATTGGTGCCGCCAGGCCCTATATCGGCCATGGGCCCCCGTACCTCCTGGTCATGCTGCTGCTGGTCCCACAGTGTGACCTGGGTCCCTGTACGGCCTCCCATTGCTTCCACTCTGCCATGTGCCACTTTGAGGTCTCCTCACACTCCTGTGCTTTTCCATTTTGACATAGGTTGCTGGCAGATTGCAGGCCTTCCATAGGTTCCGCCAGGCCCCATATCGGCCATGGGCCCCCGTACCTCCTGGTCACGCTGCTGCTGAGCCCACAGTGTGACCTGGGTCCCTGTACGGCCTCCCATTGCTTCCACTCTGCCATGTGCCACTTTGAGGTCTTCTCACACTCCTGTGCTTTTCCATTTTGACATAGGTTGCTGGCAGATTACAGGCCTTCCATTGGTGCCCGCCAGGCCCCATATCGGCCATGGGCCCCCGTACCTCCTGGTCATGCTGCTGCTGGTCCCACAGTGTGACCTGGGTCCCTGTACGGCCTCCCATTGCTTCCACTCTGCCATGTGCCACACTTTTAAATGTCCTCACACTCCTGCGGTTGTCCATTTTGTCATAGGTTGCTGGCAGATTAGCGGCCTTCCATAGGTGCCGCCAGGCCCCATATCGGCCATGGGCCCCCGTACCTCCTGGTCACGCTGCTGCTGAGCCCACAGTGTGACCTGGGTCCCTGTACGGCCTCCCATTGCTTCCACTCTGCCATGTGCCACTTTGAGGTCTCCTCACACTCCTGTGCTTTTCCATTTTGACATAGGTTGCTGGCAGATTACAGGCCTTCCATAGGTTCCGCCAGGCCCCATATCGGCCATGGGCCCCCCGTACCGCCTGTCACGCTGCTGCTGAGCCCACAGTGTGACCTGGGTCCCTGTACGGCCTCCCATTGCTTCCACTCTGCCATGTGCCACTTTGAGGTCTCCTTACACTCCTGCGGTTTTCCATTTTGTCATAGGTTGCTGGCAGATTAGCGGCCTCCCATAGGTGCCGCCAGGCCCCATATCGGCCATGGGCCCCCGTACCTCCTGATCATGCTGCTGCTTGTCCCACAGTGTGACCTGGGTCCCTGTACGGCCTCCCATTGCTTCCACTCTGCCATGTGCCACTTTGAGGTCTCCTTACACTCCTGCGGTTTTCCATTTTGTCATAGGTTGCTGGCAGACTACAGGCCTTCCATTGGTGCCTCCAGGCCCCATATCGGCCATGGGCCCCGTACCCTCCTGGTCATGCTGCTGCTGGTCCCACAGTGTGACCTGGGTCCCTGTACGGCCTCCCATTGCTTCCACTCTGCCATGTGCCACTTTGAGGTCTCCTCACACTCCTGTGCTTTTCCATTTTGACATAGGTTGCTGGCAGATTACAGGCCTTCCATAGGTTCCGCCAGGCCCCATATCGGCCATGGGCCCCCGTACCGCCTGGTCACGCTGCTGCTGAGCCCACAGTGTGACCTGGGTCCCTGTACCGCCTCCCATTGCTCCCACTCTGCCATGTGCCACTTTGAGGTCTCCTCACACTCCTGCGGTTTTCCATTTTGTCATAGGTTGCTGGCAGATTACAGGCCTTCCATAGGTGCCACCCAGGCCCCAAATCGGCCATGGGCCCCCCTACCGCCTGGTCACGCTGCTGCTGCTGGGCCCACAGTGTGACCTGGGTCCCTGTACCGCCTCCCATTGCTCCCACTCTGCCATGTGCCACTTTCAGGTCTCCTCACACTCCTGCTGGTTTCCATTTTGTCATAGGTTGCTGTATGGCCTCCCATTGCTGCTGGCTCCACCGCCACACTGTGGCTCCAAACACTGGTTTTGGCCCCGTGACTGGCCAAATGAGTGAAGTGTGCGGTGATTCTAAGATCGACGGCACTCATCTGCATGTCATACTGACTGACAGTATTATTTCTCTTCCCCAGCAGACTCCAAGGGCATTTAAATTAAAGGTACAGTGTTCTGCACTAATATTAAGTCTCTCTGAAGCCTAGAAACACCCTTTTTTAAGTTAAATTCACAGCGAATTTATTCGACTCGAATCGAATATTGTCCACGAATTCGCCGAATCAGTCGAATCAAATTTTTCATTTCTTCGCTCATCTCTATTTATAACAGAGCAATGACCTTATGACTGCTGTTCTCCTTTCATTCTCCAGTCACAGGGAGGTGATGGGTTCAGGGTGACCTGAGCTTGGAGAATGTACGATGAATGATGCTGGCCACCACACTAAGAACATTTGGCAGCAGAAAAAAAGTACTGTGGGGAAAAACTCTGAAACAAAACTGAAGATTGCAGAGAAAGCTGGTTTTATTATTTTATCTTTTAATGTGCTATTCATTTTATCTTGTTATTTTTTCCTGCCAATTTGTTTTAATAGTGCACGTGGTGCTTGCACAAACAAAGGTTGTGATATTAGTACACGACCCACCAAAGGTTTTGGAAAATCCTATTTACCATGAGGGATGAAATCAAAACAACCAACCCAGAAGCTTAAAGTGTATTTCTAATTTGTGAACAAATTCGGATAACACCTGATGTCAGTTTATTACAGGTTTACATTGCGAAAGGAAACATTATTGCTTCTAAAATTATAAAATGGCTGAACTATAAGGGATTTAATTAAGTCCTTTTTTCTGTGGTGAGGTTAGGCCAATCCTCACCAGTGGTGGTTGTCTTAGACAAGCAGTCTTGTGATCCAAGGCTGTGTTTTGGTGGGTGGTCCCAGGTGCCTGGGATGCAGCGAGCATTACAGCCACGAATCAGATTTATGTGTGCCCTGTGAGAGTTTATATGCCATAATCACTGTTTAATTGAGTAAGGATATTGCTAGGTGTTATTTGCTGTCAGATCCTTGGTAAAGAAGAACAGAGGACATATCAGAGACCTGTGAAGTCTATGGAAAGATTCTAAGTGAAAGAAATAGTAATGTCAACTGAGCTGCCAAAGGCATAAAACAGACCAGGAGTCTGCATGCAAAAGGTAAAATATAAATGACAGTTCATTTCCCCTCCTTTTTTCCCTTGCTCCCCAACCTTCCTATTCTTGTTCCCTGGTACTAACACATGCAACCTCACTTAATACTCAGTGTTTCTCAACCGGAGTTCCACCAAACCCTAGGGTTCCACAAGTGGTCCCCATAGGTTCCACAGCAATCTACCTGTCAGTTTCATTCTTTTCTGCCCAGCAGACATTAAACCAGGAATATAAGGAGGGTGCAACTTCATCCCTAAAGCCAAAAAAGGGCTCTACGATGATATTTAAAAAGAGGATCTGCTTGTGATTTTGGAAGGTAAAGGCATAACTGCTGAACAAGAAAAGACCAGAAAGAAAAAGATAATAGATCTTTTAAAAGCAAGTGATGAATGGAATACAAATAGAAGAAACCCCCAATCCTACTGCCCATTCAAAACAAAATTTCCTGATTAAAGCTCAACAAACCTTTAGTAAGGATGGTGCTAGCACAGGAAAGGTGATGTGGTATGCCTCATTTACACCTGAAGATATACAGTTGTGTTCAAAATAATAGCAGTGTGTTGAAAAAAGTGAATAAAGCTCAAAATCCTTCTAACAGCTTTTATTTCCATACACACAAATGCATTGGGAACACTACACATTCTATTCCAAATCAAAACATGAAGAAAAATATATCAAATTTGTGTTGTTCCTCTAAAAAATTAATATTTAGTTGTATAAGCACTGTTTCTGTGAACTGCTGTACATCTGTGTTGCATGGAGTCAACCAACTTCTGGCACCTGAGAACAGGTATTCTAGCCCAGGATGATTGGACTACATTCCACAGTTCTTCTCTATTTCTTGGTTTTGCCTCAGAAACTGCATTTTTGATGTCACCCCACAAGTTTTCTATTGGATTAAGATCCGGGGATTGGGCTGGCCACTCCATAACGTCCATCTTGTTGGTCTGGAACCAAGATGTTGCATGTTTACTGGTGGTTTGGGGTCGTTGTCTTGTTGGAACACCCATTTCAAGGGCATTTCCTCTTCAGCATAAGGCAGCATGACCTCTTCAAGTATTCTGATGTATTCAAACTGATCCATGATCCCTGGTATGCGATAAATAGGCCCAACACCGTAGTATGAGAAACATCCCCATATCATGATGCTTGGGCGACCATGCTTCACTGTCTTCACAGTGTATTTCAGTGTTTGGGGGTCGTCTGTCAAACTGTCTCCGGCCACTAGACCCACAAAGAACAATCTTACTTTCATCAGTCCACAAAACATTGCGCCATTTCTCTTTAGGCCAGTCAATGTGCTCTTTATCAAATTGTAACCTCTTCAGCATGTCTTTTTTTCAACAGTGGGATTTTGCGGGGGCTTCTTGCAGATAGCTTGGCTTCACATAGGCATCTTCTAATTGTAACAGTACTCACAGGTAACTTTACACCTTCTTTCATATTTCTGGAGCTGATTATTGGCTGAGTCCTTGCCATTTTGGCTATTCTTCTATCCATTCGAATGTAGTTTTTTCACTTTCTTCCACATTTTTCAGGTTTTGGCTGCCATTTGAAAGCATTTGCGATCATTTTAGCTGAGCAGCCTATCATTTTCTGCACTTCTTTATATGTTTTCCCCTCTCCAATCAACTTTTTAATCAAGGTACGCTGTTCTTCTTAAACAATGTCTGGAACGACCCATTTTCCTCAGAATTTCAGAGAGAAATGCACTGTAACCAGCATGTACAACATTTGCTGCCTTCCTTCCTTAAATAAGGGCAATAACTGCCACCTTTTTTTCAAAGAATGAATAACCTCACTAATAGAACTCCACACTGCTATTATGTTGAACATGCCCCTTTCAATTAGTGATTCAATTACACAGAATCAGCAGCATGCATGCCATGACTGTTGGGTCTGTTGGATTTCTATTACTCTACTACACCTGCTAGTAAATTATTTGTCATGTAGAAATATCATTTCTACCAAATACAGTTATTGATCAGGTTAGTGATGTCTGACTGCTATGATTTTGAACACAACTGTAGATCCTATCCTCCAGGACGTGCCAAATGCCAAGAACCCCCCCAGAAATCTCTATGCAACTAGACCAGGTGAGTATAGCCGAAATGCTCTTTGGATGATTTACTGAAGATAGAATAATTGTTAAAACAGTCCTCAACAAGCAGAAATGAACAGACTGTAAATTAGGGGCAACAGAAAAGACTGCCTTGGTGGAACCAAATGCAGACGCTAAGCTGGGAACTAGTTAACAGGGTAAAAACTGCATTCCCCAAGAAATATGGTTCCAACCCCTGAATCCAAATGAAGCAGTATGTTCAGGGGTCAAGGGAAGATGCCAGCAGCTACTGAAAACAGATCAGACATCTTGATAGAAGGTTGATCTAGATTTGAAGAATGCTGCTGTCCAGAATGCTGTTAGGGCATTGTTCATAAAGGGATTAAAACTTCAGCTGAGAAAAGCAATAGAAGTTGCTAGACCAGAGCACATGAATATAAAAGTGGCAGAACTTATGACTGTAATAGTAGGAGCAGAAAGAACCGTGGCAAGGGAGACAGAAGATGATGTATGCGGAAAGGCCAAGAAAGAAGAGAGGGAGAAATAGAGAAGGTGAACAAAAGAAATTTGTTTTAATTGTGGAAAACCAGGACACTTTTGATAGATACACACAGGGAGGCTTTTTCTTCATTCAACCCAGCAGGCTGAATGAAAAAAACTGAGAGGTCGCCGTACAACCTAAGCAATGTTAGTGCGGCTTTGTCTCCTGCTGAGCTATTGTGTTCTGAAAGGGGGACATCCCCCCCACCAGAACACACTGATCAATGCTCACAGCTATTAGCTGCAAGCGATGATCGGATTCTGGTTTTCCAGAATGCCCATTCAATGAAAGCTGATCATTAGACTGGCTTCTGTTGGACAGGCTGTTGTACAAAACGGGCCAAATGTCAGCTTGTTTCTGTTGAACCAGCAGATACTGGCGATATTCGGTCTGTGTTTACCAGCTATTTGCAAAAGTCTACAATGCAGCATAAGCAGAAACCAGCCGCCTCTCCAAAGGAGGAACCAGATAGCAAATAGGCCAACCAGTGTCTACATATTCTGTAAGAACCCCTGAGGCCTGGAGAAGAAGCACAAGTTTGATTAATATTCATAGAGCTCCCTTTTGATCTGGAAATAGACTGTTTAGTAGACTCTGGAGAGGCCAGAACAGTAATAAGAAAATCAGAGATACCCAGAGCAAAAGAAGGCTGGAAGGAATGGGTTCAGGAGGCACCTTTCTGCCCTTTCCTGAAAGTCAAAGAAGTTACATTACAAATAGGAGACCATGCTGAGGTGGTGACTTGCCAATTAGTATCAAATACCATCTGTTGGGAGCAGATATAATAACAGCTATCAGGATAAGCAGACCATACTCTGTTTTGTTCCATCATCCAGTGGTCCATATAAAGAGAGATATGACAGGAAAGAATCAAAACTAGACTTCTGTGCTGCTCAGTTGTGTCTAATATTGTGTAGGTATCATGCCTGCACTGTTATGTGATCACAAAAATAAATACGTAAATCCATACGAGTGTGACAAATTCCTGGAATGCCCATGGTGTAGCACATTTACACATGAGCGTGAGCGTGTTCTGACATGTTCTAACTTGCAGTTGCCTGGGTTGCAGGGCACTGATGGTTAGAACTGCTGGGCAGCACTGATAAGTAGCACTGATGGGGGGCACTGCTGGGCTCTGATGAGGGGCACTGCTGGGCACTGCTGGGCAGCACTGCAGGGCACTGTTCATCAGGGCAATGATCAAGCTACAAAAATGATACACTATATTATAAAGGTCAAAGCAAGCCTTTTTCCTTTTTGGGGTTAA